ACCCTTGCCCACAAAGGTCAACAGAGGTTGTTTGATGACGAGAACCTCCATGAGTGGTGCCAGCTCTTTAATGGGTCCCTTTACATGTTAAGAGAGTGGCTCGGACTGGACAGTTTGGAGTGTTCGCGCCAGTTTGCATCGTCAAACCTGTATGACAGTGTAGTGGGAGAATTTAATACACAGGAGACGCAGTTGATGACTTTCTACTCTACCCATTACAGTGAACACCGAGTCGCCCAGTTTAAGCTTAAACCATTGAACCATGTAGCATGTTTTCTGCATTGGCAGGCTGTTGGTACCCTACTGAAGGGCTTGAGTATGGAGCAGCAGGAAATGTTCAGGCAGCATCAACAGCGACTCTTGGCGAATGGCATGACCATTGATAGACCCTTTACTATAGCAGGGAACCCCGTCATGGCCAGGATTGTTGACAGTCATTTCCACCTCGACCAAATTCTGCGCCGGACCAACTTCAAGACCTGGTTTGAACTAGAGCAGCAGTTCGGTGGAAGGGTTCAGGTGCTACATGCCGTAGCTAACTATGTCTTTCCCCGTCAATGGGAATCTTGGCAGGAACACATATTGGATGCCAAAAACATATCAGTCTCCTTTGGTATCCACCCACATGTTGCTGACCTGGCAGAGCAGTACCTTGACAGGCTCATGGACTTAGTAACACACCAGCGTTGTGTAGCCATTGGGGAGGTTGGCATTGATCTCACCACCAACTGCAGATGTAACCCCTGTGCGAGGCCAGAGGCATGTAGGGAGCGTTTGCTGCAGACACAACAGGACTTTTTAGCAGATGCCCTTAACTTGGCAAGAGATGTCGGTAAGCCTGTAATTCTACACTGCAGGGATGATGGATCCGGTGAGGCAGCCAAACGCACCTTGGCCATGATCCGTATGATGGACATGACACACCATGCTTTCCATCGACATTGCTTCACAGGTTCTGTGGAGGAGCTACGCCAGTGGGAGATGGAATTGCCTGCAGTGAAATTTGGCGTCACAATGAGATCAGCGCAGGACCCAAATCTGGTGGCCAGGATCCCAGTTGAGCGCTTGTTGTTGGAGACAGATGCTCCATATTTATTACCAGCTCCTGGATGCAAGATGAACCACCCCTGGAACCTAGCATCTCTTGCTGCATCCGCAACACACCAGTTGCTATCTATCCAGCAACACACCAATTATATAGTTTCTATATGTGTATATTTATCCTGGTATAAACACAGTATATTTTTCATGTACAACAACAATGCCAGGCAGTTCTACAGATTATAGTTTTTTTTTTCTCATCATAATTTCATCAATTTATATAGTGTATTTTCTATATATGTATATTTTAATTACTTCAGAAAAAGTAAAAAATTTTTGTTATGCAAGTGTATAAAGGTGGCATTGTATATTTTTCATGATCGTTTCCGGTTTACTCAACATTTTTCTTACAACATGTATATGTGAAGGGATTATGTCTCTCACTGGTATTTTGTTGAAAAGTAGTCATGATTGGGTAGTATTTGTATGTATATTTTTCGTACTTTTGCACAAGTTGACATTTAGATGATTTTGTACAATATTGGGGGTGGATTTTTCAAATATAATTACTGATTGATAAAATTCGCCAATGGATACCCTTGGCTCTACAAGGAGGGGAGGAGTGTGGTACCACAGCCCGACTCATCCGTGTACGACCTATCTCGACTAACATTGATCTCCCTGACCTCCATCTTGCCAGACGTCTGCTAGACATAGCCTGTCTTATCGACCTAATCTGGAGGGATTTGTCAGGTAATTCGTCGACCATTACGACCAATCACACTGTCATAAATGCGATGCTGAACAATTTATAAGCGCAGTTGAGATTTTATTTGCAATATTGTAGTGACGAGAACTGTACGGATTCTTTCTGTGATTTTTATCTCATCCGATTTTTAATTCATTAACATATTCTACGCAAACATGGTTCGTATATTGTTTTTTTTTCTGAAAACTAACAAAATTGTCAAATACCTTAGAAGTACAAGATTTTGTACTGAAAAATTAATATTATTACTAAAATTGGCTTTAAAAATGTAGAATAAGTTATCCAAACAAAATAAAAACAATACCTGATACACGCATAAGGGAAAATGGAATTATCAAAATCATCCAAAATATACTTGACTGTGTTACTTTGTTTATTTTCCTCTTGTTAGATTTATTCGAATGTAGTTAAAGGTTATTCCAATTAGGATTTCTCGACTTTTAATAAATTTAATACAGAATAATTAGAACGAAAGCTTAACTGAAAAAATACAGAACAGTATTAACAATTAAAATGAAAATAGTTCATATGAGTCTAATTATTTAGTAAATATACGAGCTCGTAATAGTCAGTTTTTATGGTTATCAATTTCAGTTTGGAATAACCTTGTTTCCTCTTATTTTTTGTCTTTTTCCTAAACAAGTAGATCGGTTCTACACAAGGAGTTATATATATGTATTCATGTGAAACAATTCATATCTGTAAATCAAAACTTTAACATACTTTTACTACCTGTACTATAAATTACTTATGGACTCCAGGTTTTTTGTTTTTTTTTAACACGACAAAAAGTCGAAAACTGAATTTTTTGCTTTGAATACTTTTACATTTGTTTGTATCAGAACGTACTCTTTCTCTGATGAGGTTAATCAATTAAATACAGACATGAACATAAAATGTTTTACCATGATTTATTTTTTTGGGGGTAATTTTACGTCCTCTGTAAGATAGACACAAGTCGTTAACAATGCACATATAAGGTGCAGAAGATACAAAATGAAAGAAATGTCATGGTAGGTGATTTTCGATAAAATTAAAAAAATGTTATTAATATTTCTATTATTACGGTATTCGGGGAGAACAGTCCTTAAATTATACAGTTGCATTTAATATTAGTTATCTTTAAAAGTGTTCCAGACACAAGGATATTAATCTATTGACTAAAACAATATTGAAGAAAAAATTAGTAAATACATGATTGTATCTATATTTTGAAAACTAAAAACTCCATCAGTTCTTCATACAAAAGATACGATCAAGGAAACTGTTTTCTTTTTTTTAATTTTGAATCTTTGCAGTTTGAAACACGTGTTTGTACTGCTCGATTGTATAATGTACTGTTCTTTATTCCTGAACTTTTGAAATAAACTTTGAAGGAATACTGCACAACAAATAGTTGCTCCCGTTTTCTTGCATGCGAAGTCAATAGATGCGCGAACAATTAAAGCCAAAGGAAACTAAGGAAAGAAGAGTAGAATTTTCAGATGGGGGGGGGGGGGTCGATCCCCTCCCCCTTACCTTGATATTAGATATGTGTATTAAAGCAAATAAAAAATGCCAATATGGATATCAAGATGTGACTGTTTATTCTTTAAAATATGAACATGAAGATTCTTTTAATATAAAATAACTACTACGGTATTCATATTGCAGTTTGAAAACACCATTCATCAAAATTTCATACGCTAAATTCTCTCATTTCGTAAATAAAATAGAATCTAAAAATATCTGTGATTTGAACTGGGGGCCTCTCGCATGATAAGCTATAATCTTTCCACTCTGCCATTAAGGAATTTGACTGTGCAAGGAATTTAATGCAATTGTCATATATAAATTATAAATGTTAACATCACATTCTGCGTTGTCAAAATTTTACACAAAATCGAGTGTGTCAAGTTTCGCCCCTATTAAACTTTTTCATCTCAAAATCAAGGCGTCTTCTTTAGGCCATATGGGGTTGTCATTTAAATTTTAATTGTAAAAGGTTCAAGGTTAAAAATAAAATAACGCAAAATGTAATAACGAAAAAGCACGTTATTACATTTTGCGTTGACCTCGACGCAAAATGTAATAACGCAAAATGCAATAATCTAAAAATCATGCTATTACATTTTGCGTCGAGATCAACGAAAAATGTAATAACGCAAAATGTAATAAACCAGGTTTATTACATTTCGCGCTGTTATTACATTTCGCGTTGTAACAAAGGTTTCTTGAAATATGGCGTGGTAACGAAAGTGTTACAGACAGACTGAAATACAACTGGTCGGACAAACGGTCAGACCTAAAAATCAATGGAATGATCACCTTAGGTCATAGGGAGTTGTCATGTAAACTTTCAATACAAAAGCTAAAAGACTTCTCAAAATATCGCGCGTGGAAACGAAAGTGATACAGACAGAAATACAAACAGAGGACGGACATACAGACAGCTGAACGAATGGACGGACGGACAGATACACCAAATTAATATCCCCACTTTCAACTGGGGACAAAATAATAAGGGAACATAATTAGACTGTATAATTTCATTAAAAAATCACGAAAGCTAAAATGAGGGCATTTTGCCCTTATTTGTTACGGATTTCTTACGTGCTTAATATTCGTTAATTAACTGGATTAACTAACAGTATAGAGAGATTAAAATCTTGTAATAAAATATGTGGAAATATCGAACAGCATTCGAGTTCAAAAGTTTATTAAACCTTATAATTTAGTAACAGAGCAAAAATTAAACCTCTAAAACATCAGAGATGGGATCAGGTGCCATGGACGAGTGAGCACCCCCTGTCGACAATTCAAACCCGCCGTGCCTCCTTGTTCGAAAGAAAAAAAACGGGAAATCCGTACATATGTAAATATCTCAAAATTCTAACATCCCGAAGTTATTGAATTTTACACTTATATATCTTACGCTTTACTCTTTCTGTGTTTTTATTTGCAGATCCCTATGGAGCAGTTCATATTTCTGTGCACTTCTTTTCACCTTTTTCAGTACACGGAAACATCCAGAATCGAATCATTTTGTTCAAGTACACCTTGTTTCTGTGAAGATATGTTTACAGCAAATTGTTCATACAGAAATCTTCATGCTATTCCAAGTGGTCTTCCGTCGACTCTTAAGACACTTGATTTTTCAGGAAACAGTGTGAATGCTATCAATGATGACTTCTTTTTTTCCTTAACAAAAATGAATCTTTCAAACTTGTTGATGTTCAAATGCAAAATAATTGAAATTTCAAAGTTTGCCTTGAAGCCTTTGAGTAGCTTAGAATTCCTCGATTTATCCCGTAATTGGTTGTACAATACAGTTTTATTTGAAAGTACCTCTGAACTTGGTTTATCTAACATTAAGGTTTTGAATATATCTGACAATCCAATTTATGAGTTGAGTGATAAATTTAATTTTTGGAAGAATGTCTGGTTCCGAAATTTAAGAGAAATTATTATTCAAAGGGGTGATATAAAGAAATGTGATTTTCACGCCTTATCTAGGATAGAAAAGTTACGAAAACTCGATTTAAGCGGTAATAGGATTGAAACTATTTCACCATACAATTTTTCTTATTTGGAAATCCTTGATTTATCTAACAATAAATTAGTCCTCCTTCCAGATACATGTAGCAAGAAAATGTTCTCTCAGACTAATTTTTACCCTGCATTAAAAGTGTTCCATCTTCAGAATAACCGAATTTCCTTCACATTAGCTCTCAATATAATTGGTAGCTGTTTGAAAAATCTAACGACATTAGATATTTCTTTCAATCCAATCAGAATGATGTTTTATTTTGCAATTGTTAACTGTACAAACTTGGAAATACTACGTATGGATCATCTCCTAGGTCCAATAGAGCTATACGACTTTGCTTTTGCTTCATTTAACCTCAAAGAACTTTATCTCGGGAATAATGTGATGGGATACATGGAAGGTTTTAACTTTACGACCATTTTAATGTTTAATCCAACATTGCTCGTCCTCCATTTGACAAATATTGACCTATCACATGTAAATTTAACAAGCATGCTTTTTAACTTGGAAAACCTGACAGAACTGTCTATTGTTCATTGCAAAGTTGAAAATATTTCGCCTTTGTTAGGGTTTCCATTACTTTCAGTTTTGAATTTGAGCTTTAATTACATACAGAAACTAGATTCTCGATCATTTCAAGGACTAACTAATGTAAAGTTAGTCTCTTTTCAAAGCAATCGCATTACATCTTTAGAACAATCATCTTTCCCCAATTTCATATGGGAATCAAGTGAAATTATATTTGATTTTTCCTCGAATCCATTTGATTGTGGGTGCCATTTGGAATGGTTTAAGGAATGGATGAAGAGAAATAAAAACAGAACCTTTGGACACTTATACAAATGCAATACACCAAAAGAGTGGAATAACCAATCCATTTTATACTTGGATACACGTGAATGTCATATGCCAAGCCAGTTCTTGATTTTGTCTTTTACAATAATTGGATTTATTTCTTTATTTATTTTCTCGATCATCATTGTAAGAAGACTTCGATGGTACAGCAAATGTTACATATATGATCGCAAAAATAAAAAGTTATTAATGCCGCCAAGAAATAATCAGACCGAGTTTCTCTATGACGGTTTTGTTTCATACAATACTCGGGACAGAAAATGGATCATGTCTGAACTAATAGAAAAGATCGAGAGAAAGCATGAATACAAACTTTGCTTACACGAGAGAGACATTATTCCAGGAGAAATTTATGTGGATGAAATCCTAAAGTGTATAGACTGCAGTCGAAAGTTCCTGCTTATTTTATCAAATAATTTTATGGATGACCAGTGGTGCCTATTTGAAACAGAGATAGCCAACCATGCACTAGCTAGTGGGAAAGGTGACACTTTATTTTTAATTTTGCTTGAAGACATTAACTCTCAATACATCACAAGGTCACTACGGACTCTTCTGAATTCTGTTGCACATGCTGAATGGACAACCAACAAAAGTGGTCTGAAATTATTCTGGAAGAATGTTCTTAAATTCATGGATGAAACATGAAGTACAAGTGATAGAATTATGGACTTATTAATATATTATTTGATATAAAAGCGTGACATTATTTGAAGAGTTTTGTATAATATCAGATAAAAACTGCTGACTTATACAAAATATATATTCTTTTGCATGTCATAGAGAAGTACCGGTAATTATTGTTATCTTCATAATGTGGATTTTGCTTTATAGATATTAATTTATTTTTTATTAATATACTAATATTAGCTGTAGATTGAGTGTATGACTCCCATTTGATTCAAATGAATGCACAATAGTACAAAAATAACATTTGATTCAATACACAATGGTACAAAAAGTTTCTGAAACGAAGCAAGCTATTGACAAACAAGTTAATGAAACAAGAATATCGCCAGTATCGTGTAAAGTCAACATTTTTTCAAATTACATGTTTGAGTCAATGACATTGTAATTATAATCTACGTACATTGTGTGATTTTTTTTCTCTTGTTCGACCATTTTAATATGAATGGTCAACGCCTTTTCCCCCGATCATGTCAAGGAGTATAAAGAAGCGTGACCGGTTCATAGTTGATAGAAATGTGTGTCACACAGTCACACAGTTGTTTGTATATACTTAATTAATAGATAAATAAATGAAATATTTATATTGTTTTTATCTTTTAAAACAATCAGACGAATTCTGAAGTAAGTTAGAGACTACAGTGTTTGTATTTTTATTTTAAAGCATTTTGAGCTAATTCTTAAGAATTTAATATAATCAAATAATTTCAACGAGGTAAAAATGTGATTGAATGCAAGCTCTTTCAAAACTAAGGACAGTTTAAATAAATCTAAAATGATAAAAAGACCCACTTGTAAGTTTACGGGAACTAAAATACATGAAATGAGTATCGTTTTGAAAGGTTTAATAGCTTAATTATGCGTTCTTGGCAAACTGGAGGTTCACGGAAATGACTTTATTATGAGGGACACTATGAAATATACTTAACACATAGTTACAGTGTATTGAGATTTAATTCAAATCACTGACAATTAAAAGGAAGAACTTTTGACACAATACACTAAAATGATTCACTTCCCAACGGTTCTGAAACATAATACTTGATTCGATGAGAAATGCGAGGACATATTAGTACACAAAAATGCGTTCTTAGAACATGTACTCATTTCTTTTTCAGAACATGACTTGAACCTTTGTAATTCATTATACGGGGTTTAAAGGTCAAACTAGCATATGCATGAGTTATGAATGCGTTTTCAAAACCAAAGAGTGTTGATATAAACAGCATTTTGCTTATAGATACAGTGCGCTGGTATCTCATAAAAACCCCTCCTTATTACAAAAAACACATAAGATTTAGATATTTTCTACTCGTAAATGAATAAACTCTATAGTGTAAATGTATAAATGATTAAAGTTTGTTTCATTTTTAAATAGTGCTAATTTTGCAATTGAAATTAATAGTTATACCTCTGGAATTTTCATGTAAACGTGTTTTTGCCTTGTTCACGTGTGTGTAATGATTGCATTTTTTTTAAATTAAAAATTATCTTCACCCTTTATCATTATTTATGGTCCATTAAAATATAAATTGCAGTGGGTTCCATGCACCTTCTATGCTATTCAGGGATGCGTAATTATCATCAACAAAAACATGGCTGGTAAAAGATTGCCACTTACATTGTAATGGACAGAGTTGGCAAAGAAAGGACAGAAAACAAAAAGATAATTTGAACAACCTAATCTCCTGACTAGATTTTATTTGAGAGATCATATAATTGTTGAATGAGGAAGAAACAGCAGGGCGACACTGTGTCATGCAGGGCTCAAGAAGATTCTCATCGGCCGGTTTAATAAAACATGTTATCATTTTGCGTAATTGTATAGTTTTAAAAAACATACATAATATTGCCATTTGAAGAGCACATGTTGATGAATTTTTATATGCCTTAATGATATTTTTTTTTAAATTCTCTGAGTCGCTTTTGAAAGTACTCTAGCTGACAATAACAATTCAGTGGATTGGAAGACACATCAAGCATAACATATCTTCCTTTAAAAAAAATCACTTGTAAAGACTTACTTAGTAAAATAGCTCATAATCAATCTTTACAAATTAAAGTAAATGAACCTTTCTCGCTTGGTTCTCTTTAGTTGTGCTGTTTGCTGTTGTACTGTGCTAGTCGATAAAAGTAAGTTTATGAAAATTCTTCAGTTTTATAGTTTCTTTTACTCCACTGTTAAAACGGCAAGTGAGGAAAAACCTCTCTGGAGCTCTTCATTTTTGTTACAACAATTCCTGATAAAACTATTCCTGGTACTAATACAATTGGAACAATTGCCAAAGATTTGTGTGGAATCATTGTCTCTTATTTTTACCATGCGACCTTTAGAGAGGCTTTGAAGAGAATGATATGACGTCATTTGTCTTAAACAGCACCAAAAATTGACAGCGGATTAGCGTTTTTCATCGCCCCATCTGTTAAACAAGCATTAAGAAACCTAAGCATATGTTTTTGAGGCAGAAAACCCTGACATAAAATCTGCTTTGCTCATTCCTGCAACAACATATACATGTATGAAATATGCAATTTTTGCATCTCAAAATATACATTTTTGAAACTTAGTTTTCATTGGGTACGAAACGTGATAAAGTTTATTATCAAGTTGTTACCAGAATCCTTTTGTCTCATTTAAAGTGATCGTTGAAAAGATTATTTGAAATGTGGATAAACATACAGTAATTAAGCTCCAAAGTTCATTGAAACTAAAAAAGGTACGGAGCAGAGCAGACATAGACCCCTAAAACATTAAAGGTGTGATATAAGGTACTCTGCACTGAGGAGCCAAGGAGTAATCAACACTTGTGAAAGGAAACATCGGCTGTGTGCTCCTTTTCATGACCGGGAAATGGGAAAATCCGTAGAAATTCAGTATGTAAATAATGGTATTAAAAATCAGTCAGCATTTTACTAAATGATAGGTTGTATTTGCTGAAAATGTCTTTGATTAACTGATTGTATATATTGTTTAACGTCCCATTCGAGAATTTTTCACTCATATAGAGACATCACCGTATGCCGACGAAGGGCTTCAAATTCAGACCTATACTTGGCACTCAGCGCCATTGAGCAGTGAAGGTTCTTTATCGTGCCAACGCCTACCGTGACACGGGGCCTACGTTTTTAAGATCATATTCGAAAGACCCGTGACTTTAACTTCTAATGCCCAGTGCTTGGCGAAGGAAAGTCACTAACCTATGTTTACGTCTTAGGTTTGACGTGGCGAAAATTATTGATGATACTATACTAAAATACACTTTTAGTAGATAACACTGAGATTTTTTTCTTTGTATCAAGGTGTTCTTACAAAAAAATTGTTGACCTGATATGTTGAATGACCTGATAAAAATTGTTGACCTGATATGTTGAATAACCTGATATTTCTAGTGAAGACCTGATATTTTTTATAAATGACTTTCAATGGAAGGTTTTGAATATTTTTTTAAAAAAATTCTTTTAGAAAAATTAAACACTTTAAATGGTTTTGTGACATCTTTTTGCCAGAATTAAAGAAAAAATTGACCTGATGATTTCATACTGAAGACCTGCATGATGTTTTTTTAATGACCTGATATTTTTAAATGATGTGATGGGTTTAAATGACCTGATTTATTCTTATAGTATATTTTTAGGAAAATGAAGCAGATTTCAATGTTAAACTTGATAAAATTTGAATATTTGCAGCAATTCCATTTCATTTAAAAATATCAGGTCTGTAAAGTAAAAATATCAGGTCATTCAAAATATCAAGTCATCATGTTTTGTGAATATACCTTAATACATAGCCAAAAAATCTACTTATTATCCACTAAAAGTGAATTTTAATATATCATTATTAGTTATCATTAATATTCTCCCCCCAGAAATATGAAATGAAATGTTTAAATTGATAAGTTATATGAAATATTTTTTCATCAGGTCAAATATCAGGTCTTTAGTATATCAGGTCTTTAGTATGTTCCCGAGAACAATTGTTAGAAAAATAAATGTTAGGTGCTAAAAAGGGTTTTTAATAAGTAATTATTATACTGTGTGAAATGTATAGGGATAGTATTTTAAAGAAATTCTTGACGCTATAATTTTGATGTTACATTACCGTCAAGTATGCTCCGCGGTTACAAAACATGCTGATCTTAAAATGAAGTAAATTGATTTCTTTTAAATCGAATGAAATGTAACTTTACACAAACAAATATTTTTACACATGATATTGTGCTTATTTTAAATTTCCTGAAAGTAGTATAACGAAGATTGACATCGTCTACGAACTTTTCGAACAACCCTCGTATTTATACTGTTTTAATGGACTTTTGAACTAGATTGCTGTTCCTTACTTGATCGTACATTCATATATAGTTTTTCTATGATCATATGTAATTTTAAAGAGTCTCATTATCAATGCAATATTTTTTAATATTGGAGATTCGGAAGTAAGTTTTACAGTCTATAACTTTCTGATGAAATTGACCTCTTAAGACACTCCATATCTGATTTTGAGATTGATAGAAGAGTTCCGTACATGCCATCTAATCCTATCTTTGATTTTTGTAGGTTCATGTTTGCACTGCTCTGGGGCCCGTTTTACAAAAGAACTTACGACTAAGACCCAAAACTTCAGATTGATGTAATATTTTGCAAAAATTATAATTTCTCTTTGAAATTGTTTGTGTATTCATATCATACCATATTCCTTTTAAAAAGTTTAAAATAATTTTCGAAATAATGTTTATTATAAAGTTATACGAAGAATAAAATCTGGCCTTAAGTCGTAAGTCCTTTTGTAAAACGGGCTCCTGATTTTTTTGTTACAATGGACTTTTCAGCTTGATAACTTGTTCATATTTCTCATATTTCAACACAAATAAATAAACATTCCTCTAATACGTTTGATAGGTATTGGATATTGACGACATAATATTTGCCAGAGAATCTTCTAAGTTACTCTGAATACATTAAAACTTATTTTTGAAACATTCAACACCAACATCATTTTGTGTAAAGCGATGCTTAATGAAACATCCACGAATTCAGCAAATGACGGTGGAGTGCCTTTTTGTTTAATCAAGTTTTATGAATTTTTTTAACTTACCTATATTTTTTCACTGCAAAAATCGCTTAAGTGTGACAGTAAAAGGGTAATAAAATACATGCAACACTGCACTACCTACATGTAATACTGCACTACCTACATGTAATACTGCACTACCTACATGTAATACTGCACTACCTACATGTACTGTACATGTAGAAGGAAAAGAATGATGTCATTCTGTCCTGACTAATCGACTTGCTGAAATAATAATAATGCAAAAAAGTCTAATGATTTGTTTATTCATTCCTTTTTTGCTACAAATAATTCAGAAAGAGTTAAAAAAAATCTCGGTATTCCAAAAATTATTTTTGATGAATTAAGATTAATCACAAACACAGATATCGTCATTTATAGATTGTTTTTGTCCACTTCACAGATTTGATTTATTTATTATATACAGCTTTAAGAATTATTTATAAATGCCAAAAAAAAAAAAAAAAAAAAAAAAAAAAAAACAAAAAAAAAAACAAAAAAAAAAACAAAGCAAAACAAAAAAAAAAAAACTTTTTTAGAATCAATATCAGTGTCTTCTTGTCATTCCTCAGGTGTCTAATATGATAAATATCATATAAAAGACATGTGATATATTAATCTAATGTACTAAGAACTAATATGTAACCTGGCAAAAACATCTTACTTTTACTTGTTTTGTTTGAGACAAGTTACGTTTATCATATAATTAAATAAAAATTAAATAGTGTTATTGTTTCCTGTACCGTAATGCTATAAAAAAGCAATGTTCAGGATGTAAAATTGTCAGATTATAAAGTTAAGAAAACATTTTTGTTGGTATTAATACATTTGCCATATCTGTTATGAATTATTCTCATTTTTAAATGCTTATTATTTATATAATATATCATGTTACGTCTTTCTTTGGATTTCACATCACTTTTTCATAAACTGTTTGATAGTCTGCCAGAATATCTTTAGGCCATTTTTATTTTTTGTCCATTCCACATAAGAGGTTGATTTAAGGAGTACTTTCAAAGATTTATTAATGTGTTCAGAACGAATATCCTCTAGCAGAATCAGTAACAGTTTGTGACCATCGCCATCCGCCAGTGTATGATTAGCAAGAGCAGCTTCGTACATGCACCATTGGTCGTCCATAAAATTGTTCGAAAGCACTAGAATGAATTTCCTGCTGGTATCAATGCTCTCTAGAATGTCATCTACGTACACACCGCCTGGAATGATGTCCCTCTCATGCAAACAGAGTTTGTGTTTGTCATTTCTTTCTACCATTTCAACAAGTTCAGACATAATCCAGTATCTATCTTTAGTGTTATAAGCAACAAAAGCATCGTACAGGAATGCTTCATCATCGGTGAACCTTTTGTAGCCGAAAGGTTTTCTGTTTTTACAAATGTAAACGTAATATTTGATATCCCATCGAAATTTTCTCAAAAGATATATAGACAAAATGACGAAGGAAAAAAGTGCTAGTGAAACACAAGTTAGAATTATATAAGGGCTTATCATATGACAGTCCGAGGCTGGGTCAAAGTTTGATAAGCTTTTGCCGTTTAATTCCGATGGGGAATCGCAGATATATCTCTCTGGGTATCCTATGGCTCTATTAACATTGTTTTCTATCCAGATTCTAAACCACTCTAGCTGACATCCACAGTCCAATGGATTCAAACACACGTCAAGCATGAAGTCTTTTCTCTCCCAAAGAAAACTAGGCAAAAATGACTTATTCATGGAATTCAAACGATTGTTACTGAGAACCAATGTTTTCAAATTAGTTAAATTTTGAAACTGTATTGCTTGAGTTTCCTTAATTTTGTTGAAACCGAAATCGATGTAATCTAACTTCGTAAAAGCATTCAGATAAATAATTTCCTTCAGTTCGCCATTAAGGATAGTTAATGATGATAACCCTTTCAGAGGTGTAAGCATTCGTGTTACATTAGTTGTTGATAAATCGGTTTTCATTATTTTCAATTCTTTAATATTTGGACAATTTTCGAACATTTGTGTGAAATCCTTGACTCTTGTTTTAATCAAGGGCCCAATAGAAAGCCTTTGGAGAGAATGTGATGATAGGGACCACTTGTCCACGGCTGCTCCACGCAAATTGTCAGCGATTAGCGTTTGTAAGTTGCTCATCCTGTCAAACGACACTACTGCAATTTCTTTGAATAAGTTTTTGGAAATATTCAAAAATGTAACATGTTTGAGGCAAAAGCCTTGACTTATGAAATTTTCTGTGTCCATTAGAGCGTTTGCTCCCAAATATAATTTTTTTAGGTTTGGAAAAGCTGGTCTTGTGTTATTCAAACAAAATTTGGGAACTCTCCTAAAATTATTGTCTGCGAGATTCAACTCTTGTAATGTGCGAAACGGAAATTTAGTTTATACAAAGTTTGTTATAAGGTTGCTCCCAAAATCTATTTTTCTTATGTTTTGTAATTGCTTAAAAGTATTAAATGAAAAGAATCTGATACTACAACTGCGGACGACAATCTCTTGCAACGCACTTAACCACGATGTGTAAAATATATTTTTCACACTGAGGGGTAAAAGTTTTCCTTCGAAGAAAATTCCGGATATGTTTAGCACTTGCACATTTGAATGTCCCAGATCCTTTATTCTGTCATAAACATTGCTCAAGTTTATTTCATTATAAGCTAAATCAAGATAACGCAAATTTGGAAAACTTTCGAAAAAACGTTTTGAAATGCTTTTTATTTGACAATTATCCAGTAGTAGATTTGTGATATTCAAAGACACAACAGGTTCCATTGTGTCATTCCGAATATACGTAAGCTTATTTCTTGACAAGACAAGAGTACTGATCTCCTTTGGTAAACCTTTTGGAATTTCTTCAAGATTTCTGTTCGAACAATCTGCAGTGTAAATGTTCGAACAGTGGCAAACAGTGTCTGGACAAAAATTTGGTTTTCCTGTACTGCAAGCAATTGCTATCAGAATGAAGAGATGGATGGACAATGACTCCATCTTTCTGAGAAAAAAATGTTAATTTATCTCAACAATGTACTCTGTCTTGACCGTTATATTTTTATTAGAAAAAATAAATGTATATTATCTCAATGACTTCTGAATAGCTTGTAATATATATTTATAATATAGTACTTTCTCTAAATGCACGAGGATTGTAAAAAATGTTTTACAGTTTGTAATTATCACTGAAAGGTTTAATTTTTTTCAACGTCTTACCTTCTTTACACGACAATCATCATATGGTTGCTTGGAGTTTATTACTTTTTATAGTAATTCAATTTATTAACTTATATTTTTGAGTACTTTCGGTTAATCACCGATCATTTATTTTAAAGGACCCTTGACTTATGCACATGAAGAGTAACACTATTTGAAAGAACACTTAAGTCAATGTGTGTCGAATAATTCATTTTAAAATTTACCCGGAAACAATTTATCATAGGTTCAGAGGAGCAAGGCTCAAATAAACGAAAAAGCTCTTCTTCAATTGGGTTTCATGTGATCACATACTTAACCTCCAAATCTAACATTCCAGATATTTCAAGTTGAATTCTCCATTGCACGAGTTCATAAGTGCATCTTTAAGTGATGTAAATTAAAATTTTTCTTAAAACTCGAGCAGAAACTAATATTAAATTGATTTAACATGCATGACAATTTCTTAAATAAGTCAAGGATAATACGAACAAAATTATGCGTAGAAAATGATATGTATAAAGTTTTGCATTGAATCTAATATGTATTATGCAGAAAAGAAAACATGTAAACAATTCAATTCAAGAAACAACTTAAATTACTAAACGGTCTGCATTTAATTTCTAGATCTCCAATACTTACAGAAAACGATAGACAAGTCAGGTAAATAAAATACAAACATATTTTGAAAGGTATTAAATTGTGTAAGATGAGTTATGCTTTCTATTCCTCGGGATCGTTTTTCACAAGGTTCATTTGCTCGGCAGAATCTTCGACCATAACATGGTCCTCCAGAGCACGTCCCTTGGTTTCTGGCAGCAAGAAGACACAGAAGCCGGACAGTAGCAGAGTTCCCCCGATCACAAAGTAAAGCAGGCCAGGAACAGTTTTGCTCTTCAATGAAATTTAGGATTACTTCATTCTTATAAAAGAAAATTTTGTATAAACATACAAGTATTCAACCTGAAGGTTAACAGGGATAAAATAATCAAAATCATGAATTGATTTTAATATTTGAATCAAAACTTCTTTTATTTGATCTGATGAAATGCATAGGAATTTCTTAAAGAAATACAAATTCAAAGACTTGATCACTTACAAAATGGATTCGTAAGTGGATATCAATATTTGAATTTTTACATTCTTTTATTTGAAATGTGATGAAATAAAATATATTTACGAATTCCTTGAAGAACGAATTCAACGAATTGGTGACTTACAAGGAAGATAATTTGAGGAGCCACCATCGCACCAACTCTTGATACAGCACTAAAAAATCCGTATGAAATATTCCTAAAATTAAAGTTAACAAATTAATGGAAACTTGCATCAGAAAAACTATTAAAAACAGAAATCAGAGTGCTAAATATGAAGGCTGAGAGGTAGTATGACTTGCAATTTCTCCATTTCTTGTTAAGCCCTAAAAGATTTTATAAGACACTAAGTGAAAGATAAAATCCTCAAATAAAATTCTTCCATTTAATACACTGTCTTTGTTGATTATGAACTTTTTTTGAAGGTACAATATACTAGTGGAGTTTTATGAAGAGGCTTACTTTTACATTTTGGTAATTGGAGTTGTTCTTTGTTTAAATTTTAGAAGTCAGTCGTCGATTGTAAAAGTAAGTCTCTTCATAAAACTCCAGTACTGAACTACTTAAGGCTTTTAAAAGTGATAAGGGATGGCTCAATTGTGGTCTTTATTAAATAATAGGAGCCTGATTAAAGACCGATTAAAATAGGTAGGTGTGATGTTTTTATCTGGATTACCTGATACCAGTGGGGTATAACTCCGTTGTCATGGTTATAACTGGATTACCTGATACCAGTGGGGTATAACTCAGTTGTGATGGTTATGACTGTATTACCTGATTACAGTTGGGTATAACTCAGTTGTGATGGTTATGACTGATGTCCACGCAGCCGAGATCGCCAGTTTAGCTGTGATGGCGAGAACAGTAACAACCGTGGCATGGCTAGGCACTGACTCTGGATCTAATGATGTCATGGAAAGAAATCAAAAATGCATAAAATGTATGTTAATAGTTGAAAAAGAAAGAAAGGAAATTATTTGTTTGTTTATTATCATAAAATTCCTTTTATCTATCTTAATTGATATCTAAATAAGATGGTATAAAATTTACAAATACATAAAATAAAAAAAATATATTAAAACTGCTGTAGTTTGTATTCAACATCAAAAAGGAAGAAATAATGAAAATATTTGTACTTCTATTTCAAAAAAATGTTTTGTAAATGAGAGACTTCATTCAATATACCACAGTGATGAACGTTTAAAAATCAAGATATTTTAAAGAAAAATATTTACAATCGATTACTTTCACAAGGAGAGCGGTTACATTACAAGAAAAACAAATGAATCCTACTCTTTTGGTTTTCAACGTTTGTGCAGTTAACACCACACAATATTTTTATTTGCAAAAAAAAAAAAAAAAAAAAGAAAAGAAAAAAAAAAAATCAATCACTTATACTTGCCAAGATTCTGAAAGGTTGCAGTTGCTATTCCAGCTACTCCTGATAACAAAAGCAGTACTAAAGCTGTCCATCGACGACCAAATCTAGAATTGGTACAAAAAACCCAGTCAACCATAAAATGATTCTTCTTTTAAAGGTATATGACATCATCTAAAAAGAATAAAAATCTTGCGGTTGAATTTTAGACTGAGGGTTTTACACTAAGAAAGTAAAGAAAAAACTCTTTACAACAAAAGACATGACAAATATACATGTATGTTATTTTTTTCTTCTTCAGTAGGTTTTTAGAATTCGACCTCATTTGAATACGAAACATAGGTCTCCTCAGAATACTCACTGGTTGGTAAGACACCAAGTGCTGAAGGTACCAGGTACCTCCACTGCAGATAAGAAAAACATGTTAATATACAAACTCCCAGAAAGTTGTCCAACACCGAAAGCGAGGCCATAGTAGGAAAATCCGCAGGCTAACCTACAATTAAAAAAATGATAGCCCTCAGTTTAAAAAAAAGCATCCCAAGGTACATCCTAAAAATAAAAGCAAAAGGGTTCCATTTTGCGAAAGTTCAGGCAACCAAGAGGATTTAATAAACATCGAAAAAACGAATGCAGACTTAAACAACAATTTGGATATTTTACAATTAGATATAAATGCCAGAGTAAAGGTCAAAGAATAAGATAATTGTGAAGTTAAAAAATATACAGAAAAACTTTTGGAAAGAAAAGTGAGGTTCATAAGTCAGAAAGAAACACCGAACTGGTTATCCTTGAAATAAAAGAAAATCATTTAAAACATCATATAGAATAGCACCTTATATAAGCATCCTTAATTCTAGATTATTAAAGAAGATGGCAAGGAAAAAATACGTACTCACCAACAAAACCAAAGTAACAATGTCCTTTTAAGTAGATATTTTTCTCTAAATATATCAATGATGGAATATTTCCGTTCTTTTAGTCTGTTTTTGCTGCTCAGAGCCAGTCTAACTCTGTCCATATCTGGACAGGGACGGCCGTTTATATCTGCGATCTTTTTAATGACATTTTCAGCTTCTTTAATCTTGAAGCGGGAGGCCAGCCATCGAAAACTTTCTGGGATTACACTTGAAAAAGAATTATATGTATATCATTTTGGGGGTTCAGCTACAAGATTTATTGAAAGGAAGAAACATACCCAAAAACATCCGGATGTACATGTAATCTGAACTCAGTTGAACACTTGGGTACCACTAGCATTTGAAATAAAAAGATTTATTGATTGATTAAGGATATCCGATCCTCAGCCAGGAAGGATAACTCCAAAAATTAATAATTAATTTGAAATGCATCAAAATGAAGCTTGAAAATGTAATTTTTTCATGCAAAAATTTTCATTTTATTAATCTTTATAAGATTCAAGGGTTTTGGAAATCTTAGAAAAGGACTTATGAAAGTTGATATTTGTACCCTATAAAAGGAAAAAAAATTAATACAGTTTTAGAGAAATAAGATTTTCTTGAATCCAGGCTTAGATACCAATGCTTATTAGCATGATATGAAATACGAAGTGATTTGTGGTGTCTTGCAATGATAGCAAAAGCCTTTTACACTATTTACTATAGAATATATGACGGAAATAGAAGACAAAAAATACCAAATAAGTATAAAAATCATGACAATTTCTCTGAATGCCTGGATACCTAACGTTTTTAAACCTAAAATATATTTGTTGATCAATTTGCAATTAGAAAATACACTGCAGATATTCCAAATCGCTTTTTCTGCAAAAATATTGGAGATTTGGCAATTTTCCCTTTATAATATGATTAACTTTAACCCCCTTCCCCGCAGTCATGCATTTTAACGCGAATACCATTTCCTATTTTAACGCAAAATCACGCATATACCGTTTCCCCGCAATCACGCATTTTCACGCACTTTGAAAAGTTCGTTTAATGTTTAATTTAATGCCAAATTCCTTCTATTTTATACTTGAAAAAATGTCATTAAATAAGAAAAGTTATTTTTCTATTAAAATATAACGTCATAAAATTATATACGTAAATTTTTAGAGAAATGTGTACCACGCTATAAGGTGCTTGCGGGGAAATGGTAAATTTCTATTTCTATGACGTGAACATTAAGTGTATGTTGCATAACAGTTCAGTAAGTTGTAAAGAGTTAATCTTTAACTGCTAATTTTATAAACCTGAGGATCGGACTACCTTAAATTCACACCGTTTATCTACTGGCATTTAAAAAACATTTGGACCAACTGAATTATTCATTCATGTACTACCATAAAACGACTCGTATATATTTTCTATAAATCTGAAACTATGTCCTTTCTAAGGGGTTTTGAACTCTTAATTCTGCTAGATTAAATCCTTTAAACAAGAGACCCATGGGCCACATCGCTCACCTGAGCACAGTGGCCAGGAACAAAAACTCAATTCAAGGAATACCTAAGTGGTCCCGATCCTAATAAAGGGGGAATGATTTGAACAAACTTCTATCTATGCAAACTTGAATCTACACTCAATAAGGATCCTTACATAGTTTTTTGACTAACTGTGTCTTTCTCCCCTATAAGTTTGAACTTTTATTGTGGTCCCACCCAAACCTGGGGGTTATGATTTTAACAAATCTGTATCTAAACTACCTGAGGATATAAACATGACCAGTCATGACTTTGCTGTTCTTGAGAAGATTTTTCCCATATACCCCTATGCGAAACTTTTATCGGCCATTGTGGCCCCGCCCTACCCCCAGGGGTCATGATTTGAACAAAAATCTTCACTACCTGAGGATGCTTCCATATAATTATGACCAATCATGGCTTTCCTGTTGTCGGGAGGAGAAAATTTTTAAAGATTTTTCCTATATATTCCTATGTAAAACTTGGATCGGCCATTGTGGCCCCACCCTGCCCCCGGGGGTAATGATTTGAACAAATTTGAATCTACACAACTTGAGGATACTTCCAAGTAAATATGACCAGTCATGGCTTTGCTGTTCTCAAGAAGAAGATTTTAAATATTTTTTCCTACATATTTTCTATGTAAAACTTTGATCGGCCATTGTGGCCCCGCCCTACCCCCGGGGGTCATGATTTGAACAAACTTGAATCTACACTACCTGAGGAAGTTTTCACATAAGTTTCATCTTTCCTGGCAAAGTGGTTCTTGAGAAGAAGATCTTTGAAAATTGCCATTGATTTTTCAGTAATTATTTTAAATTATCTCCCCTTGGAATGGGGACTGGCCCTTCATTTGAACAAACCTAAATCCCCTTCAGCCAAGGATACTTTGTGGCAAGTTTGGTTGAAATTGGTCCAGTGGTTCTTGAGAAGAAGTCGAAAATGTGAAAAGTTTACAGACGGAAAGACAGACAGACAGACAGACGGACAGACGGACGACGGACAAAATGTGATCAGAAAAGCTCACTTGAGCCTTCGGCTCAGGTGAGCTAAAAACTTACAAAATACCCAGAAATGATGGTAATGTTATAGCAGCTGTTAGGTAATGAAGGTGTCTCCAGTCTTTCAGCAGGTATGAGACCAGGGCTAACAGTGCAGCGAAGATGGGAAAGGTAGGAAGAGCTGCGATCATTGATCGATGTCTCTTGGGTATGAACTCAATCATGAAGATGTACAAGGTGGCTAGGAACTGTCCAGCACCGAACCCGAGCACAAATCTCATGACAGCAAACATCTGCCACGACACGGAAACAGCAGCGAGGAAATTCCCTACCATCATGAAGGCAAGGGACAGAAAGAAGTTCAGTTTTCGTCCGAATGTATCTGACAGGTGCCCAGACAATAGACCAGCCACCAACATACCGGCCATCTGTATTGTGGTTATTGTAGACGATACCCAGTCCATATCGCAGATGAGTTCCCACTACAGAGACAGGGACAAGAGTTAAAAGTGCTCGCATAGATATACCATGCAGAATATCGAAATACCACTAAAAGCAACCACAATCAACATTCTTTACCTCAGTATTATATAATTATTTAATTGTATTTTGCAATGCTCTTAAATTTAAAGAATTGTACAAAAACATTTTCTTATTATTCAAGTAAGATTGAACTGATCGCCCGGGTTAAAGAACTTTGTTAAATTTTTAGATTTTCCGTTCTTTATATTTTCTATGGAAAATGTTTTATAAATATCATTTTAAAACAACTTACAAATCAAGATATATGATTTTAATAATTGTTCAATAATTCTTTACGTTAAGAAAAATGTAACCCGGCATCGTATGTTTTGTGTCCGGGAATAAGTTTATATCTGACAGTAGATTTAACATGTTCTTACCTCATTCACGATTGTGTTTATTTCCGATGAAAAACGAAAAGAGGAACATCTTCCATATAGAGATTCATTATTGGGCGCCTTGCATACTTCGAGTGTCTCTTTACTATCGTTTCCGGTGTAGCCATATGACGTATTTGTGTTCCACGTACACCACCATTCTGGTGACGCGCCAGCAAATTGCATCATGAGGACGCTCCACGCACATGACACTTTCACGAGGAAGGCAACGCCGATGACAATGTATTGGAACCGACCAAAGCCACCACATTCTGTGATTATATCCTCCAAAGCAAGATTGAGCGACTCCATTCCAGTGATCTTAAGACTGTCGATTACAAATAGTCTTTATTTTAGAATATTATTGTACCATGAAATCAACCAGTTTCCACTATTACCGGTATTTCCCAAAGGAATATTAATTTAACCAACCCGTACGTATTTTTATCAACACTGATATCATAATAACTAGTCAGCGGGCTAAAAATAAACAAAAATAAACATAGATGCTGGCCACTAGGGTGACCTTTTAACCTGACCCATTCCCAGAATATACGATTCATTAGAATGCGGTTGATTACTTGTTTATCGAAAGATGTATTTGGTTAGGAGGAAGAAGCAACCAAGGATATTGGGGTGATCAGAGTTCAGGTGTTTGTATAAATTATCTACAGAAAATGTTTAAAGATTATGCAGAAGATTGGTAATTATTTTAAAAGTGCATCAGAAATTTAAAAAGGACTGAAGGTCAGTAGACAGAAGACAGTTCAGTTGTCTCTCTTTGGTTGCATTTATACAGGTAAGATTATTTTGTAAACATGCGTGCGTTTTTATTTATGGGTTCAACTTTTTATATTATTAGTAGTTATATTTATAATAATGTTTAGTATCTTTTGTAAACTTTTTCATTGTAATTATAGATATTAACATGGATTGTTTACTTTAATAAAGAGTGGAAAGCTGAATCTTGAATGTCTTGGTTGCATTTTATACAGGTTGGGTAACATCTCCACTCCCCAACACATGTCAGCCTCTCAGGTCCATCAGATTTACAAGGAATGAGAAATGAAGTGCCAAGAAACTATATAATAAACGGATAGTTAAACTGACTTATCCCGGTACCTCTCCATGAGTTCTAAAGAATGAGATCTATCTTCTTATGAAACAAACAACGACCCTTTTTTTAATTTAATATTTTTTTTTTATGAAACTGATCAAAAATGGAATACATTTTGTTGGTCTGACATGTTTTGACATAGATAAAACATGGGCACTGTGTGTTCTTTAGATCTCTATATCTGTATAAATAAGTTTGTATATTGAGCATGTGGAATGAAAATTTTGACACTCATGAGTTATGCCAAACCTGTCTGATATATTTTCATATATATAGTAAACTCGACTAAATAAACTAAACGCAGCTGGATTAATGTTAGAATTTCATCATTCGTTTTTATGTAATCTGGTGAAATACGGATGTACATGTACATGCACTGTTTGTCAGGTTATGGACAGATTTTAGTTTGCGTATTAGATCGTATGCATTGAAACAGAAAATGATTACGGAGAAAACATTATCCAGTGTTCTAAGTGAGAAAAAAACGATAGGTTATTTTGTTTTAATTTCATCTTTTCAATAAAATATCAGTAAGTATTAGTATACATTGAAATAGTGAAATAATGAAAATGTGCAAGTTAAAAAGAAAACGTAATCTTGCAAAATCCAAAATTGCCTTCTGTCAAAGTTTTTCAAAAATTCTAAGTTTTTTGTGCTTCGACTATTTCTATTCAAAAATGCATAACCAGACCATAGGAGGCATTATTATTAAAGATTTGTGAAGAGAAATTGCAAAACGAGGGTTTACTGTTATCAACAAAATAATATTTCATAACATATGTACTGTAGAGTTCGGTACGTTTGACTTAGTGTTATTTGCTATTATCAATGTTTAACAAAATTTTACATACCTTTGGTGGGCACAGTTTTCACCCTTGAGAAACAGATTTGCACGGTATTATGAGGATAGCGTTACAATCTCCCCCAAAGATCCAAAGGACACCTTTAATTGGTTTGGTTGACGCTTCCCTAAACCCAATATCCTTTCACCTAGCAAGTACACGCGTGAATGCTTCAATTATAAATCTCAGTAGGACTTTTTTTACTGTTTGACAGACAAGGGCGCTAACAAAAAGCGGAGTTCAATGTCTCCCACTACCCCCATATACAAAGGCTGGTCAAAATGCAGCCTACTTTGTGTTTATTCCGGATTTTCTCTACTAATGGCAAATATTTCTGAATGAAAAAAGACCAGAATTGTTATACAAGAACACAGTTTCAAAGAACTTTAAAATGCTAGTATCAAAGACTTGATAGAAACGCAGAGGCTGTTTTATTAAGTATACTTTCATTTTTACACTTCTCTGAATTTGATGATAAAAAGTAAAATTGAAAACCTTTAAAGTCATTAAAAGTATCGCATATCATTGTACTTTAAAATGTCCAATTAAGGTTCAATGATACTCTGATACATGCGATAACGCCGAATGGCATTGATATCTTATTTCTTTTAAATATACTTGTCAAATTGAAATTCTGTTTTGTTTAATCTTTTTCTTTCAAGCTTTTATAAATTTTTTACGAATAAAATGATTTTTAAAAATCATTGCATAAAAATGTAAGAGAAAACAATAAAGTTTTTTAAAACAAATATCCAGTACCTTTGGTCCTTCGCTTTGAGAACTATTTTATCCCACAGTGATCAGTTCCTTTTTCCAGTGTTATAGGTACGATAATATAGGGTATTTTGGTTTACAAAATAAGATTTTTTTTTTGTAGACATAACGAGGTTGTGTAACCATATTCATACTTAAGACTCTGAAGTTTAAATGAACCAAGGGTCAAGAGTAATCATAAGAAATCGTGTTATGAAAGCACATTACGACTAATTCTATGGTGAAAAAACACCGTAATTACACATTTTGATCACAAGCGCCTGCAAATGGAGAATGGAACCCCCTTTTCATTTTTAAAATCCTTTCCCTTTTTGTATTCTAATATGCACTATGTGTTATCAATATTGTAACCAAATTGTTGTCCCTATACACTGTATTTAAATGAAATCTTTTTTGACTTATACATATAAAATCCCTGGTTAAAACATCTCGATTATCTATTTTTTTCAATCTTTAAGAACATTTCGTTCGTTTTTTACACGATTATGCAGACTTAATCCTGACCTCATCAACAAAATCATTTCTTTTAAAACAACTTAACTTTCTCAAATACAATAAAAAATAAGAAATCGTCGCAAACAAATAAAAAATTGTTAAGTACAAATAAGAGTTAGTAAAATGCGCATAAAATTATAGAATAAAATAAAAATGTAAATGTACATATTGTAATTTCAAATAATTAATTTTTACAAAACAATAGATAATTTTAGAATATATAACTAAAACAGAATAAAAAATTTTAAAAAAAACAGAAAAGTTAATATCATATAATAAAAAATTGTACAATGCAAATGGAAAGATTATACAACACAAATGAAACAGATAGAATGTTACAATGTTTGATACATGGCTACATGAAATATATGGAGATAACGAACAATATCCAAGCTCAAAATTCCATGAAACAATAAAAAAAATTAGAACAGTGCAAACACAGACTTCTAAAACATCTAAGATGGGATCAGGTGTAATGAGGAAATTAGCATTCCCTAACCATTATTATTGTCATAATTGGGAATAAACGGGAAAATTCGTAGACAATTCAATATGTAGAGAATGACTTAACAATAATTAAGACTTAGTATGAAAATCCTCTGTCACCATTTGGCTTAATGATAGACTGTATTCGATGATAAGGTCTTTGTATCGACCATAGAACTAACGAAATTGTTACTATAAACAAGACTGCTGATATTCTTGCTTCACCAGCTTGTTTATCAATAATGACCTCGTTTTAGAAATTGTCCATACGTAGAGCATGCTCCAGCGCATAGAATCAACTGAAAAATGTTAATTTCGTATGCAGGTGAAAAAGTACTTAGCTGGATAATTAAGGTAGGATTCTTCTCTGGTGTCTGACTAGATGAAACATTCAAAGTATATTTGCTTATATGTCTTATATATTGAGGTGTAAGGAATTTAAAAGACCATATTTTTCTTTCCTCATCACAACTGTACAACTTTAAATAGAAATGGTAAACTGCGTTTGAAAACTAGTAGGGACTATATTTTTGGCGGAATGGTGGCATATGAAAATATCTTCTTTTCTGCCTCTCAAAATTATACTAGAACAATGAATTTAGTTATAATTTTTACACAATCGAAGACTTGGAGAAATTTTCAAATGTAAGTTGAATTAATAATGAGGGACTAAACTTTCAAAATAAATCAAATAAATATGATTTTCCAAACAAACTAGAACTTTGTTAGCTTTTAAACGCTTCCTATCAAAGTGCAGATTTGAGCCAAAAAATTATAAAAAATATTTTTTTCTCTCTTAGTGAACGATCAAAACTTTTTGTTTTTGTATCATTTTGTACATTCATAAGACTACTTTATTATATGTGAAAATAAGAAAAAGTTAAATATAGGAAGCATATGAAAATAACTAATATATCCTGAAAAATTAAGAAAAACAGAGAAAATTCGGATTAGCCAATATCCAGTTAAGTTAAATTATTTTTGTAAATTTGGTGATATCATGCTATAGACCCGATATAGTAATATGTTTTTATGCAAAAAGAACAAATTTTAAACTTTTGAAATAGAATTAGGTATCACATGATTGGCAACAGTATTTTTTTTTATTCTTAATGTCAAGGAAAAAGATAATGACCTTGACCTGACCTTGCCTCTAATATAAAACGGTCAAATTTAATTTCACTGATACTATCACTTACTGATATTGTCTTCTTGATTCTGTGAAAATTTCATTAATTTTTAAATATTAGAAATATGAGAAGAATCCCACCTTAAGGAAAGTTGACGATTGAAAAGTTAAAGTTAATACGTTGATTATGAACGTTTGTTGTTTGATTACCATTAACGTCTTTTTAGTAAGCGATCCAAATATGAAACAGATGTTCAGACTCAGTTTAATCTTTTATTTCAAGCTCATTGGGATATATCGTATCGGTATTAGAATAGAAATAATCATTTCTGTATTAGAATAGAAATAATCATTTCTAACTGACAATACGTCGTTGATATAATATTATATATATATTCATTTCTAATTTTTTTCTCTGTGATAACTCTTTGAAAGTTTGGGGAGTTTATTTCTTGATAATTCTGCCGGA